GATTGTATTCTTATTGGTAAAATAGATAATAATATATTAATCGGTAATATATCTAAATCATTATGGAATATAACACAAAATCAATGTATATGTGAAATGATAAATTCAAATGGAACAATATCGACATTAAATTACTTTTCAACAAATCAAACTTGTCAGTTATTTTATGCAAATTGTACATCGATCTTCATTGAATTTAGTCTCAATTCTTCTTTGATATTTATGAATCAATCAGCAATATTCATAGCACAAAGTAAATATATCATAAATATTGAGAAAATTCCAGTTTTGCTAATCAACGAGCTAGCCACATCTGAAAAAATTTCGTAAGATTTTTTTCCAATGAAAGCCCCATCTTATTTAGTTTAGCAAGTTAGCCGTTAGAGAAGAATGTTAATATTATATATAGATTCGCACATGCAAATACACTGTGTCAACCTCATCTTCAGATAGATACTCACATCCACCAATCTTGACGAGTTTTTAATCGATGAGAAGATTCATTTATCTGTTGTAAATGTTCGATTTAATAGCTAAGTCAGTTACATATTACTTTCGATAGATGCAACAAGCTTAATGTATCGAAAAGAGTTTCATTTGTGATTGTATGTTCATATATATAAGCCGGTTGAATATGCCACGGCCATCAAAACACAAAAACTCATTTTTAGTTGTTAAATACTTTTGATGCTCAACAACTATTTTCGGAGATGTTCTCATCTTTATACTGGATGACAAGTGTTTTATCACTATTTCCCCCATGCAATGGTGCATTTAGTTTCAAACTGAATTTAGAAAAAAAATAGAGTCGATTCCAAACTGAGGGTGTGAGCGTGATTTGAGAATAATGCTCTCAGCCACACTCATACCCACACCCAAACCCAGAGAGAGTTTCCGATAGTAACAAATATAGAATTTTTCTGAGAGTGTAGTCCTCTTAGTCCACACCCACAACCGCAACATCCAACCGGAAAGAGTTAAATAAAAATAAAAGATTTCAAGAAAAGAATCAATATGCAAATCTCATATGACTCAATCTCTCTAATTCTAAAAGTTTCATTATTAAACTTATTAAGAAATACAAATCGAGTTGTCAAAATTATCATAAGAGAAATATAATTAAAGTAAATATCGTAGAATTATAATTATAAAGGGAAATTATTAAAACATTTTTTATTTTATTATAACCAAACTGATATTTAACGTCGATACATTGTTACAGAAAAATAAATAAATCTTACCCAATCGTTTAGTCTTACTCTAAAATCATTTTTTCAAAATAGAACCGACGACGACATCAACAACATTATCTTCAATATTATCCTTATCCGCAGCATCATCACCAACTACACCTTCCTCATCATCATCATCAACAACAACTTCATCAACTTCATCAACAACATCATCAACAACAACAACTGAAACAACATCCACAACAACA